TCTATGCTTCTCCTTCCCCTTCCCTTCAGATTTTCCCCCATTGGATTTTAGCTCTCCTCCCTCCACCCCCCCCCCCACAAACCCAACCCCCAGTCTCTACATGAGATTTAACACTCTGTGCCTGTTTGTGTCAGTAAAATACAGATAATTAGAACACTTACATCAGATAATTTTTGAGGGAGAATCAAGTGCAATAATTCATGTGAAGCGAACAGTATCTCACAAAGGAAGCTAGCACTTGAATTAAATCAAACTGGATACCTCTGGGTGGAGAGAAGTGGGGGAAAACCAACTTCTTGACTATGTTATAGCGCCTCTATTCTAAAATGACTGGAAAGACACAGAATTCCTGGGGCCCCATAGTCACAATTTAGAAACCAGCAGTCTTCGGGGAACATATTTCATCACATTCAAAAGACAGCTTTATTACTTGCTCTCTTACTTATCTTCAAAATTTTTGCATGTGTATTTTGTCTCACCAACAAGATAATGAATATCTGAACAATTAAAACATGGGGTCTGTGGATGGGTGAGCCTAAATTTCCCACATATTAGTAGTGCTTGTAGGTTTAGCTAGAAGATCTAGGACATCATAGAAAAAAATTCTCAACAATGCTGTTCAGGAGCCCACTTCTCAGAAGTGCATTCACATTTGTTGTTTGCTCTTGCTGTTGGGGGGTGAGAACTGTCTGAATGACCAATTGATTCCTTTATTTAAATCGGCCTGTGGTGAACTGCGACTCACTATAGAAGAGATAATTCCGCTGAGGTACACTGCCTATTAGCTCTGATATGTCACTCTTCCACTTCCAAACCACCTGTTCTTTGGTGTTTTGGGGAGATAAACATCTTTCTTTTTTCAATATCTTTTCAAAGTGATTCTGCCTTGCTGTGTGGCAATAGTTGGGTGATTACCCACAAAAAGAGTTACAGGGAGTCACGGATTTTGTTTCTATACTGGGTCAAGTCTTAGTCCCAGAATCCCCTAATCCTGCATTTCTCAATCCAGTGCCAGGATATCCCAAGGGGGTCTCAGGTAGAAATCAATAAATTGGGGCCACAGCACAAGACTAAGGGGCCACATAGTAGGATAAGTGGGGGGTGCACAGGAAGGAAGCAAGATCAGAAGGGGCCCATGATCAGAATAAGATTGAGAAACACTGACCTAATCTACAGGTAGTCTATTTGTAAAATGGGAAAAGGGTATTTGTTTTGGTTGTGCAGCGTCTCAGAGGAGGTGGTCTCAGTGTAGATCATATTTCAGTGCTGCAGAGCTGAACAGCTAAGCCAGGCAGGCCTGTCTTTTCACATATACAAAGGGTTCCTTTCATGCCTTTTCGAAAATAAATGTTAAGTATGACCTTTATTTTACAAAAATGTTGATTCTTCAAAGTTTTTCCAAATCTGGGTCATCAATGAGTAATGAATCCCTTCTCATTTGAGCCTTATTAAGAAAGCATACTCACTTCCTAAGGCTATATTATTTTGAGTAGTAGATCAGTGGTTCTTTTTCTGAGAAGATGGCAAATATCAGGACCTTACTTATTATACATTCCCGGGCTCTCTTATGCTGAATGTGCTGAAGAAGGTAAATTGCAGATGAAATGCAGTCATTTAAATAATTTTCAAAATATTTCCTTTTTTCTTCTGAGCCAGGTGTATCGAGGTGAAAGCCTATAAGGAATTGTCTTTGTCTTTTTTTGTCTTTTGAGAGGGTGAGAGGAGGGAGGGAGGGAAGAAGGAGAAAGAGAGAGAGAGAGAGAGAGAGAATGAAAGAGAATGAAAGAGAATCAAATCAACCTGGGAGAAAAAAGTAAAAGAAGATGGGGTCCAGAGGGGCAGCTGGGGCCTTGGAGGAAAATAGAATCTTTGAATATATTCTTGCCAGAGACAAAAGCACAGACTCATTTAAAAAACAAAGGAGGGCAGCTTTATTCTAAAGCCTGCTGTGCACCAAATATAGGCACTTAGATTCAGTTCTCCACATTTTGAGAAAGTAACTTATCAGGATTGAAACAATTTAGTTCAGGCATTTGCCTCACTTTCTTCTGCCCACCTTAACTAAAGCCCCACCAAATAATTCCTCTGAGTAACACATTGGGAACCTTTAGCTCCCTGGTACTGGCAGTTTTAATGCGACCATTGCCAGCAATGAATTTTGTGCCAAGAAAAGCCGACTCCTGGCGTGGAAGGATTAAACAGTCCTCGGGAGCCATCTGTGCAGTGAAGTGGAAGAGTGACTTTGTGCACTGAGTGTGTGCGTGTTGCCATTGGCAGTAGGAAGTGACTTCTATTTACATGACTACCTCATGCAGCGAACACCTAAAGGGACACACAAAATTGGCCACTGCCGTGACGGGTAGATGGAGGAAGAGGAGTGTTTGCCTGAGAATGTGGAACCTATGGGGGAAGTCCCCAGAAAAATACAGGTTGCAAAGACAGATGAAACCAACTGTCCTAGAGGGGGAAGAGTGTTGGTGGAGGAGGAAACTGGGGGCTGAGCTGCATCATGGGAAGCAGCTCACCAAGGACTGCCTCAGGGGGCAGGGCTTGAACTTTACCCTTGTGGGTCAAGGTTCATAAAATGTTCAGACTTGGATTTTTTTAAAAAAATTTTATTAGTGAAAGACCAGTTGTAGATTTACAGATTTTTGTGCTTGGGTTTCAGTTATACAATGATCGAGTACCCATCCCTCCACCAGTGCCCATTCTCCACTACCACTGAGACCTGGATTTTTTTAAATGAACTCTTGGCTCATTGGATATCAGAGCTAATCTCTACTAGAGAACCTGAGCTCTGATGTTGTAGAAGCCTGTTCATACTTCGGATATTTGAGAAAGGTTTTTGGCATCTTATCAATATGGCATGCCTAAGGAGGGAAGATTTTTAAATGTAAGCAGTTGCACTAAGTCATTGATAAGAAAATTCAAGTTGCAAAATAAGTGAAATGACTTAGAACAGGGAGTATCTGGGACAGCCAGTGATACTCAGGGCCAATTCCTGGCTCTGGCTCTGTGTTGTATGTGCTATCCTGGGGATCAAACCCAGGTTGACTTTGTAAAAAACAAGTCTCGACCCTTGAAATATCTCTCCAGTCCCCTAAATAAAAGTTTTATAACATTATTTCCCTTCAAGACATCTCTCAGGAAATGCTTTTAAAGTTTAAAATTTTTACCAGGGTAATCCAAATAGTGTGATGTTGAGTAGTCTTAAAGGGTCAATGCTGCAAAGAGGGCTAGACAAAACCAAGAAATTATGAGGCCAACAGCAATAAGCTGAGAAGAGATGTATGAGAAATGTTGTTGAACTCAAAGTGGGGCAGTATAAACTTTCCCTTTTAATGAACTCTCCACATTTTCTAATAGATGGACATGAAAGAGAAATGAAGGGAGGACAAAGGTACATGGAGAAAAGCCACAACATTTAGAGAATAGAGAACAGTTGAACACATGGCCCAAAAAGTGAGTTGATCTTAGCTGAGCACACAGAAAATATTCATTGACGTGCTGTGGGTGGAAGTATGTGTATACTTTAGACTGAGAGTAGAAAGCAAGACAAGCTGACAGGTGACAAAGGTGGTCATTGTTCCAAAAGGTGAGAGTCCTTTAGCAGCAGTAAGTTTGGTTCCTGAGAAGGAAAAGGATGGGCAAGCCACTTTTTAGATGTGGAAGCTAAGTATGAAGGTGGAGAAAGAATTAAACTGGCAGATGAGACAATTAGCACAAATGGGGCCAAACTGGGGCACAGGACCACTGTTGTGAGTGGAAGGTAATTTGTGCAGCCCGCTTCACTCTTTGCAACTTTTCTATCTTGACTGAATGTCAGGTGTGGCACAAACTCAGACAAGTATCCTCCTCTATCCATGCCTTGCTGACCAAAGTAAATAAGCTGAATGAGGGTAAAATAAAACTGTCCACCCATACATAGCAAAACTAGAAATCAACTATGTGATATATAGTATTTTGACCAAGTGGCTCAGAATTCATAGAAATCTTACAAAAACATGCAAGCAGTGTGACCATATAAAACCCGGGTATTGAGAGTTATGGTATACAAAGTGATAAATTGTGTTCTTAAATAATTCTTATAATTGTTTTCCTTATTCTTCTCCTTTTAAAAAATTTTGGTAGGTGCTCCTGGCTCTGCGCTCAGGAATACTCCTGGCGATCTTTGGTATGATTTAGAATAATTCACCCTTCTAGAAAGAATTTGGACTTTCCCTGGGAGAAGCTAAATATCAGATGATTTGCCTTGTCATTTCTAAATTTCAGGATTTTTTAAACAAAGATGAAGGAATTAGCATGCTTTTGGAAAGCGTGGACTATTAGAAAGTACTTATGCTAACACTTCCAATGGAGCGAGTGTGGTACCAAAAGGTGTGGGCTTTGTGGTCACACCCACACTAGCAAATGATCAATAGATCCTATTTAAAATGCTTTAGTCCATCTGCAGAACAATATGGTTCTCCTGTGAGAAAACCAGTTTGGTGGATACTATTAAGTAATTTGGTTTTAGTGGATTTTCAGGTACTGTCTAACTGTACCTACTCCTCACCTACTTTTCTCAAATCTTAAGTGAGGAAACTCTATTTGGCTATGAATAAGAAAATTATAGACTTGCACATACATCTTAGTTATGATAATACTATAGGAATTTTTAATCTACATCTAGAGCTTTAGAGAATCTTTGGGGCTATAAAGTAATACATTGGGTTTGACATGTTTTCTAAACTGAGGTTTTTATAATTAAAGTAATTATCGGGTGTTGCTTTGTATTTCCAAATGAATGCATATTGCGACCTATATAGCATACGACAAAGACTATAATTATGCAGAATATAGAAGGGGAAGCTATTGGAGTATCTCTTTACCACCTGTGTTATTTTTTCAAACAAGAATTTTGTTGGAAATAAAGAGTATATTCTCTAGAATAGATGCACTTTAAAATACTCTTGAATATAAATAGGATATAAAATGTTTGTTTCTTTTTCATCTCTTACCCTGTAATGGTCAAGGTTGTCATCTGGTTTTGGGAGATTCATATAACGCTCTGTGTACACTGAGTCTGTGACAAAAATAGGGATTAAAAAGTTATATATATAATATATATAATAAAGACAAATATTCCTTTGTTGAGTTACTTGATGTACTTTGATATATCTTCAGTCAGAGGTCCCCAAATTTATTAGTTTTATTGTCCCCTCTTCAGAAAAAAATTACTCTGCCCCCTGCAAATTTACCATTTTTTAAGGAAACAAAGAAAGTGATTCCCAATTGCACCAAAATTACTCTGTCCCCTGAAAATTTACCTTTTTTAAGGAAACAAAGAAAGTGACTCCCAGTTGCACCAAAGGCAGTTATACTACCGACTGGATTGAGCCGGTGCCCATCATCCACCTTGGAAAACACTGTCATAACTTATATCCATGTCCACAAGTTGTCACACTTAGAAATATCTTCTTGAGATATATTTTTCCATTTTAATTTTATTTATCTTTAGACATTGTGATTTGTAGTTACTAATAATTGCATTTTAGGTATACAATATTTCAACACAAATCCCATCACAGTGTTAACTTCCCTCCACCAGTGTCCCTGATCTTACACTCATCCTGTCTTATGACAGGTACATTTTTTTTTACATTTTCAGCACTGTGGTTTACAATACTGTTACTGATAGAGGTTCATGCTTAATACATTCCAGCTGTGACATCCTACCCAGAGTGACCACCTCCCTTTGCTATTGCCTCAGTGTCTCTTTTCCCCATCACACTAAAAGAGAATCAAACTTAGAAGGATAATTATATTTGTTAATGCAATTGGATACTGCTTAAATATGTATTTTCACCTTCAATCTTAGCCCTTTCCCATTTACTCCTCATAACCAGAGCAGAGGAAGAGCAAACTAGATAGACCCAGTTAAGTATTTCACCTGCTGAACAGTCAGAGGTGGAAGTGTTAAGTGATGAGAATCTTTACAATATCATCTGACCCTCAAAGAAGTGTATTGAGAAGATCACTCAATGCTTCAAATTTTTGGCTAATAAATAACTATATGTATTCTAACTTTGAATAGGGTACTTCCTTTGGGTTTCCTTTGGGAAATCTCTCATAACGTTCAACTAGTAGCTGTTTACTTATAGCACATTTTATTTATTGACAGGTTGAAACTAACTCCAATAAAATAAAGAAATTTAGTTATTATTTATTTTCTACATATCCCCCATATTAGTTTGTTTTCACAAGGCAGAATATACATTCTCTCATTTTTGTGGAGGTCTCAATAGTTGGGTATTTTGAAATAGATTACATTAATTCTGATCTCTTGAAATCAGATAGGTTTTTATCTATAAATATAGTAGAAAAACAAGTTGCATAATTGATCTGGTTATTTTGGATAATTAAAAATTTTTTGGATTTTTTTAAATACTAATCACACATTATATACATAGAAACATACATGCTAAAATATCAGTGAGGCAGACCTGGGAGAGCCTCATGGGCTTGCCTGTAGGAGTCAGAGTTTCATTTTTCAGCACTATTTGGTCCCCAGAACAATGCTCAGTGCTTCCCCTGACCCCGAAAAAATTTCAGTGAGAGAATTCGCTGTGATCAAATTCTAATATAACTTTAAAATCTGTAGAAACAATTTTCAAAAACTGCCCCATTAGCAACAGGTTACAGTAAAAAAAAGTTAGTAGAAGAATAATGGGTTGCATTGTGCCATTGTGGTTTGAATTGCACTGTAATTGTACAGGTATCTTGACACTGATATAAATAAGTAAATATATAAACCTCAAGCAACATCATAACCCATTTTGAATGACTGTCATTGTAGATTAAATGACATTGCTAACAAATGTTAGTTATTTCACGTGAATTAATGCCATTTCTCTGGAAAAAGAAACACATATGTCCCTTTGTATAATACTTGTTTGAAGGTGACTGACAGAAATGACTTTAAAAGGTCAGGCTGATTATTTACTCCAAAGGTAAGGTTACAAGAGATGCAGAAAAAAAATCATCTCCTTGCCACCTCTGACACTTCCCTTGTACTAAGTGCTCCACTAATTACCCCTTGGAAATCCAACTTGATCATGTATGAAGTCTTGCAGTGGGGGAATATTTTCTCACTGATGAAAAGGACACTGCAGAGTGACTTTCACTTACATAAAAACAGTAGTACTAAACAAAAATCTTCCCAGGAATTCCCATTTCAACTCTCTTCTTGACATGCAAAGCCATTTATATCTGACCTTTCCCTAAAGAGAAAGATTCATCCATCATCTTGCTAAAAAATGTGAAGCCCTAAACTCAAATTACAATGAAGATAATGAAGGGTTTATTTGTTAAAAATAAAAAAAAAAGTAGAATGGGTTTTTAAAAAGGACATCAAAGATGGATGTTTTGAGATTTGGCAAACAGAACGAATTTGTTGATAATTAAATGTGTAGAAAATATGTAATATCACCAGTCTTGTACAATAGTAGCATAAGTGAGATTGTTTGATAGCTATTCATAAAGCACACGATGAATCAGCTTATTTGTTATAAAAACACTGACAGTCAAAAAGGAAGAGGTATTTTCATTGGAACGCTAAGGTCAACACTCGGCATCTATTCACACAGGACAGCAATTACATACCGTAGTACTCCCACCGGGACACAGGTGCCACTGCGATTCCACACTTGAACACACCACTTCCTGCTCCCAAGACCATTGAGGTGACATACCCTCCATATGACTAAGAAAAGGAAACAGTTATTTTTATGGAGATAAAAGAATTAAAGACATATGGTAAGCTAGTTGCATTTCTCACATCTTTATATACTGTGCTTCTTTAGAGAAAGCTTGATAGAGAAGGCTTAAATTGGCCTTAATTGGACAGTATCTAAAGACTACATATTCAAAGCCCTGGGGCACGTTCTTGGTAGGCAGAAGGGGGAAAAAACAATAAAAATTGGCCTGATAGTGGGTAGTTCTAATTAAAGGGGAAAAACCCCGTAGACACAAAATCCTACAGACTTTGATAGGAGAAAAAGTCCACATGCCTCCTTTTACCCTTCCCTCCCTCTCTTCCTCTTTTTCCTTTCCTTTTTCTCAATTTTCTTCTTTCTCTTTTTCATCTCTCTTCCTCATCATAACAAAGGTGTAAAGCTGGCTGGGACTGTTTGTTCAAAGATCTATGACATTTTATTTGGACTTTATTGGCTGAAAATGATAAGCATGATTTATCTCCAAATATTTAATTATGAAAAAGAAATATCTTTCGGTTTTTGCTCTGCTCTTGTTAAATTCACTCAGGAATGCATCTAGATTTATTAGCAAAACAACTACTTACCCAGCCCCAAATTGCAATCCGTTTGTCATCCACAAATCCCATTTTTATAAATTCTCTAAAATACATAGAAGACATCCACAAATTAGTATTGTATTGTGTAGAAAACTAAGATAGCCACATAAATGTGAACTCCTCTCATTTGTTCTGTATTTTATTCATTTAGAAATGAAGATAAATCACTGCAAGTAGTTTAATAAATACTTGAAATAAATATCATTTTTATCTTTAGTGCCAGAACAGTTTACTTTTATTAGACTCCATAAAAATTTCTCTTTCTCAAGCTCTCTCCCTCTCTCTCTCTTTCTCTCTCCCCCCACACACCCCATGACTATGATTGTGTGTGTGTGTGTGTGTGTGTGTGTATGTGTTTGATTCATAGAAAACAACTCCTGGCAGTTTTTTTCACAGTTTCATATAAAAATTTGCAGCCCAGATGCACTTTTCTTTACATAATTGAATTTAAATCTCTCCAGATGTTTTTTCACTTTGAGAGAGACTGTCCCTGCAATGGAGACTTACAAGGGCATAGAGAACATCTGGGTAGGGCTTAGCAATGTCTCTGGTCCCCTTTCCTGAGAACTCAAACATCATTCTCTAAGTAAATCCCTTCTTGTACTGGGTGTTGATTTGTTAGCTCAGTATCATTAACTAGAAAGAATTTTCTCCTTGATAGATTAAGAAGTCATTTTTGCCACTAAACTGTGTTCAGTAGTGGAATTCAGATGAAGAAATGGGGAAAATATTTTGCTCACCTATGTTTCGTGCCTTACATAAACGTTAGAGGCATTGAGTGGCAAAAACAAAAACAAAAACAAAACAAAACAAAACAAAAAAACACCCTAGCAGTTGAATTGAGGAAAGAATGCTAAATCAATTTTGTAAGATTTCATAGAGATGAAGGTCAAGAAAGAGGCAGAACATTCACTTATATAGTAATGAAATTGTTTTAATTATAGTGTTGTCATTAATATTGATACCCATAAAGATCTGCAATACTTTTGCATGCTGAAGGTACTGAGAAGTCTCATAGTGACAAATACTGTTGAGAGGCTGGAGCGATAGAACAGCAGGTAAGGCATTTGCCTTGCACGCGGCTGACCCGGGTTCGATTCCTAGCATCCCATATGGTCCCCCTAGCACTGCCAAGAGTGATTCCTGAGTGCATGAACCAGGAGTAAGCCCTGTGCATAGCCAGGTGTAATCCAAAAAGCAAAAAAAAATACTGTTGATACTAATTTTATTCAGTATTTCTCAAGCATATTTAAACATGAATCTTTTAGCAGTGAACTGAAGCTGCAAAGGTTGGGAGAAGAAGGGACCTTGGAACAGTGGGAGGTGTGGTGCTACTGACACTGGTGATGGGGTGGTAGAGTCTTACAAGTATACAATAATAACTTAGAAATAATACTCAATTTCGTAGTCTGAGGAAGGTGGGGAACATTTGCATTGCTTTATATGTAGACTTTGAGAATTTTGTGTTTGCAATTAATATTTGTCTTAGCAATTACAATTGATTGAATATCTCTCAATAGGTAATATTAGAAAACTTTAAAAATAAATAGTTATTTTAATCTTTTCTTCATGCACCATAAGGTACAGTTGTAGACTAACAAATTTTTGTGCTTGGGTTTCAGTTATACAATGATCCAGTACCCATCCCTCCACCACTGCCCATTCTCCATCACCACTAATCCCAGTATCCCTCCCATCCCCCCAACCCCCCATCCCACTCTGCCTCTGTGGCAGGGCACTCCCTTTTGTTCTCTCTCTCCTTTTGGGTGCTGTGGTTTGCAAAAGAGGCATTGAGTGGCAATCATGTTTGTTATATAGTCTGCTTTCAGCATGCATCTCCCATCCTGGGCCAATCTTCCCAAACACCCTTTATTTGGTGCTCCCTTTTCTATCTGAGCTGCCTTTACCCCTAGAGTGTGCGGCTGGCCTCCAAGACATAGAGTAAACCTCCTGTTATTTATCTCGTCTATTCTTGGGTGTTAGTCTCCTATTTTGTTATTTTATGTTCCCCAGATGAATGCAATCTTTCTATGTCTGTCCCTCTCTTTCTGACTCATTTTGCTTAGCATTATACTTTCCATGTAGTACCACTTGTATGTAAATTTTATGACTTCATCCTTTCTAAAAGCTACATAGTACTCCATTGTGTAGATGTACCAAAGTTTCTTTGACCAGTCATCTGTTCTTGGGCACTCAGGTTTTTTCCAGATTTCGGCTATTGTGAATAGTGCAGCAATGAACAAACAAGTGCAGATGTCGCTTCAACTATACTTTTTTGCCTCTCCAGGGTATATTCCCAGGAGTGGTATTGTTGGGTCAAATGGGAGCTCAATTTCTAGTTTTTCTAGAATCGTCCATACTGTTTTCCAAAAGGGCTTAACCAGTCAGCATTCCCACCAGCAGTGAAGGAGGGTCCCTTTCTTGCCAAATCAGTGCCAACACTCATTGCTTTTGTTCTTTTGGTTGTGGGCCAGTCTCTATGGTGTAAAATGATATCTCATTGTTGTTTTGATCTGCAACTCCCTGATGATTAATGATGTAGAGCATTTTCTCATGTGCCTTTTAGCCATTCGGATTTCTCCTTTGAGGAAGTTTCTGTTCATTTCATTGCCCCATTTTTGGATGGGGTTGGATGTTTTCTTTTTGTGGAGTTTAACCAGTACTTTGTATATCCTTGATATCAACCCCTTGTCAGATGCGTATTCGGTGAATATCCTTTCCCATTCTGTAGACTGTCTTTGTATTTTGGTCACTGTTTTTTTGAGGTGCAGAAGCTTCTTAGTTTAAGATAGTCCCATTTGTCTATCTCTCTTTTCACTTGCTTGGCCAGTGGCATGACATCTTTAAAGATACCATTAGCTTCAATGTCATGGAGGGTTTTTCTGACTTTGTCTTCAATGTACCTTATGGATTGCAGTCTGATATTGAGGTCTTTAGTCCATTTTGATATTACTTTTTTACATGGTGTTAGGCAGAGATCTGAGCCCAGTTTTTTGCATGTAGCCATTCAGTTTTGCCAGCACAATTTGTTAAAAAGGCTTTCCTTACTCCACTTCACATTTCTTGCTCCTTTATCAAATATTAGATGATCATATGTTTGGGGGGAGATGTCAGTGTATTCAACCCTGTTCCATTGGTCTGTTGTTCTGCCTTTGTTCCAGTACCATGCTGTTTTAATTATTACTGCTTTGTAGTAGAGTTTGACGTTAGGGAGGTTGATTCCTCCCATTTTCTTTTTCCCAAGAATTGCCTTTACCTATTCGTGGAGGCTTATTTTTCCATATGAATTTCAGGAGTGTTTGCTCCATTTCTTTGAAGAATGTCATGGGTATCATAATAGGGATCGCATTGAATTTGTACAGTGCTTTGGGAATTATTGCCATTTTGACAATGTTAATTCTCCTGATCCATGAACAGGGGATATTTTTCCATTTCCTTGTGTCCTCTTTTATTTCCTGAAGCAGTGTTTTGTAGTTTTCTTTGTACAGGTCCTTTACTTCTTTAGTTAAGCTACTTCCTAGGTAGTTGATTTTCTAGGGCACAATTGTGAATGAGATTGTTTTCTTCATGTCATTTTCTTCTCTCACTATTTCTTCATGCAAACTTTTAACACATACACAAACACACACACACACACACAAGCACACTCACGCAACAACATACAGAAATCTGTACCAGATCGTAAGTTTCTGAGTGTGCATATTGATAATCCTTCACAAAATGAGAATATTCTTTGAACCTAATATAGAAAAAAATTACAACTACCCAGAAGTCTCTGGGTAATTTCTTTTTTACGAAAGGAAAGTTTTGAATTTAATATAAATTAGGTCATAGATAATACAAGATGTATATAATCAGGATTGTTTTCTTCCACTCAGCAGTTTGTTATTGAATGTTTTCTCCGTTGTGTATAATTCTTTATATAACCAAAATGATATCTGAGAACTGGGGTGGTAGTACATGGGTAAAGGTGCATGGCTTATATCCACAAGACCCTGGTTCAATCCCTGGCACATGCCACTTCCCCCTCTTTTCACCACCATTAAGTATAGCCCTGAGGCCCCTTGAGCACCACTGGATGTGATCTTGGAGGTTCCCACACTGCAAGCCTTGAGCAGCACTGTACTTCAGGGCTCTTCCACTGGATTGCAGGTACAATTCACTGAGAATTGCTGAATGTGGTTCCCTGACCCACTCCCACCCCCAAATTTTATAAGTGCAATATATCATTGTTTTTTGGGTTTTGGTTGGTTTTGTTTTTTGTGTGTTTTTTTAGCCAGAGTTGTGTATTGTGGATGCTCTAATACAAAACTTTAGTTCTATCATCATCAAGTTGACAGGGCCTAAAAATAATATCTTCTTCGATAGAAATTTTACTTACTTTCTCTAAAAAAATATTTTCTTCTATCCACAATCATTTATAATTTTCTGCATTTTCTAGTTTATAGTTTTACATAAGTTAAAATCAGCTATTATAGTGATGCTTCCTTAGACATTTAATCAGTTACCCATAGAAATGAAAAGGTTACATTTTCCATTTACTAGTGAATGGGAAGTAGTTATATTGAGACCTGGATTCAAATCCTATTATCTTAGTAACTGATCTAAGATCCTCCATGTCTTCACTCTCTAACATATGGGGTATGAAGACCCATCTCCTAAAGTTCTTATGCAATTCAATGATAACTCCAGTAAGACATTTCTTATGTTATGTTCACATTCCTTGGCCTCATCACATTTATGTAAAGTCCCATATTCAAAGAGAACAAGAATGATGTGTGATTTATATTTAATGAACGTCTTAACTGGCCCACATTCAAAAGAACAAAAGCAACCGATGCTGGTGCAGATGTGGCGAGAAAGGGACACTCCTTCACTGTTGGTGGGAATGCCGACTGGTTCAGCCCTTCTGGAAAACAGTATGGACGATTCTCAAAAAATTAGAAATTGAGCTCCCATTTGACCCAGCAATACCACTCCTGGGAATATATCCCAGAGAGGCAAAAATGTATAGTCGAAGTGACATCTGCACTTGTTTGTTCATTGCAGCACTCTTTACAATAGCCAGAAACTGGAAGAAACCTGAATGCCCAAGAACAGATGACTGGTTAAAGAAACTTTGGTACATCTACACAATGGAGTACTATGTAGCTGTTAGAAAGGATGAGGTCATGAAATTTACATACAAGTGGTACAATATGGAAAGTATCATGCTAAGCGAAATGAGTCAGAAAGAGAGGGATAGACATAGAAAGATTGCATTCATCTGGGGGATTTAAAGTAGCAAAATATGAGATTAATACCCAAGAATAGCTGAGACCAGCACCAGGAGGATTACTCCATAGCTTAGTGGCCAGCCAGGCATTCTTGAGAAAAGGGCAGCTCAGATAGAGAAGGGAGCACCAAATAAAGGGTGTTTGGAGGATCCTCCCAGGAGGGGAGATGCATGTCGAAAGTAGACTATGGACTGAACATGTTTGTCATTCAATGCCTCTTTTGAAGACCACAACACCCAAAAGGAGAGAGAGAACACAGGGGATTGCCCTGCCACAGAGGCAGGGGGGATGGGGGTGGGGGGATATTATCCATGGTGGTGGAAAATGGGCACTGGTGGAGGGATGGGTATCTGATCATTTTATAATCGAAACCTAAGCACAAAAATTGTAAATCTACAACTGTACCTCATGGTGTTTCACTAGTAAAAAAAAAGAAATGAAAAAGTTGAGTACTCAAAAAAAAAATAAAGAAAGAACGTCTTAATTGTGAGCAATGAGGGGCCATGTTCCACAATTTCCACACCTTTTCCCCCTGTCCCTTGCCTTGCCCAACTTCACTAGAGGGGGAACCTCATCCAGACTATCTGAGCTCTTCTAGAACTAAGCTGTCACTCTTCTACAATGTCCTGGACACTGAACTCTACCTATACCTGGTGCCTTGCTTGTTTCATTAGATAGTTATTCGAGGGTACATTTATTTTTTATTTTTTGGTCTATGTGACAAATGAATTTTCAGTCTGTTCCTTGAAGGTGGTTGCACGTTTGTCAAATGACTTTCTAGAGGAATCTAGAAATAACCATCTTTAAAACTTTGTATAAGTCAACACGATACATTTTAATCTATAATATCTAAGATTTCTCTGGCATCTTCAACAAAAATATAACTCAAGGATAAAAATATTAAAAATTCAAATTTTAGCATCTGAAATTTTTACACTTAAAATATGCATTGAGGAATGAACCAACTCTTGACAGGAGTGGTCCCAGTCTTCCCACTCCATTTCAAGTGGGGCTGGCCCCTATAAAAATATATAAACTGAAGGAAGAAAAACTCAGATCACTTTTGAATTTGACTTCAGTTACTCACCTGGCTGCCTGAATTTGATCTTCAACTTCAAATGTCCCCAGTCTTCTGTAGATTGCATGCATGATCTTATCTCCTTGGTAACCACTTCCTCTGCCATCAAAGCTTGCTACTATAATGTTTTCTGTGCTTGCAAGGTAAGTAGCCCAGTTCAGTCTGAAAGCTGCATCTGCTTTTTGGCTACAGGGACCTGCATAACTGAAAAATCACAAATTGTTAGCATTTGTGGGTGGTCTTCCTGAACCCTCTAAGGAGTGCATGTGTGTATTCGCTTGGACAAGAAGTGTGCACCTTCTTGATCAATGAGTCTGAAATCATGCCAGCCACCAGGGTGTCCACAAGTGTCCTCTAAAACTTGGCAACGTGACTGCAATATTGGTGTACTTCTTTCAAGCATGCCCATCAGCTCTATCTTTGAAGATTGTTATCAAACACAGACTTCATAGGCCACTTTTTCTAAGTCCTATATACCTTTGAAGTCAAAGAAATAAATTCTCTAATAGTTGAGAGAAAGAAATTTTGCTATGAAAAACATGATGCTCACAACAAATTCAGCTCTATATATCTTTCCTTTTCATCTAACAAATACTCCTAAATTGCAAGTTTATTTTCCAGATTAGGCTTCTTTAAAATTCTACTATGTGGTATGTATAGCATTTGTCCCAGGACAGCACCATGCACTAAAATTCCACAAAGCATTCTGAGATGGCACAAAGTAGGAATGAACACTTATTTAGAACTTGAAGGGAAAAGTAAATATATTATAATGAAAATGGGTGTATTGTTTGGCATTTTTAGCAGGTTTAAGTCAGTACTTTATACTTTTAAAGTACTTTAATACTTTAAAGGTACAGTAGAGTCCCCATATGGAAGCACAGACAGTCGACATGGAACCCTCTCATTTTCAGTCGTGAGTCAAAATAGCTTCTAAAAGTTCTTTGAATATCATTTCAGTGTGCCTTCTTGGCCTCATTTACAGTACATCTGGACACAGATTTCTAAAATCTCTCTGCCCATCTCCTCCACTCCTCCTTTCAGTCTTCCCGATTTTCCCCCCCACCAGAATTGAACAAGTCCAGCTCAGGTGTCACTGCAAAACATTTCCTTCCTCTTCGCGCCTACAGTTGAAATAATTCTACTTTTAGGTAAAATATTGAATTACTTTAAATTTATATATTATAACATTCTAAACAGTAAGAAGAAAATGTACATTGGTGAAGGGTGTGTGTTGGAACATTTTATGAACTAAAACTTAAACATAAAAAATTTGGTAACTGTGTGTCTCATGGTGATTCAATTAAAGAAAAAATCAAAACAGTAAAAAGAGGAATACATTCATGCTTTTCTTAGAAAAGTAAGTACTTTTTAACAAAGTGAAATTTTAATGATAATTAGAAATGTCCTTTTGTTGATAAATTTAGTAGAGTAGTTGCTGCCCTTAATATTAGTTAAGCATCAAATATCCCAATGCTTTAAGATTAAACAACCTTATATTTTTTTTTACCATTTTTACCAAGGAACTGGTATTTATAATACCATTAATTACATTTTTCATGAATACATCATTCCAACACCACACTCATCATCATAGAGTTCACTTCCCTCCACACAGTGTCCCACGGACCTCTTTCCCAGTATTCCATGTTACCTCAGTTACATAGATAAAATCTCCAGTTCCAATAATTTTGATCTTTTGTTGTTGCATTACTATGTATCTTTATATCCTAAACTATGAAAGGGATCTTTTTAAAAAAATTACACTGGAGGTGGTGAGATCTACACACATATAGATGGTTAAAGCTAAATTGAAATATTACAAAAATTGTAAATCGAAAGGCTAATAAGTATCTTTTTCAAGACCTGTATTTTTCTCCTTATTTAGGCATATAAATTTTGCTTGTTTGTTTATTTATTTGTTTGGGAGCCACACCTGGCTATGCATAGGGCTTCCTCCTGGCTCTTTGTTCAGGCATCATGCCTGAAGAGGCTTGGGGGACCAAATGTGGTGCCAGGGAGAGAACTCAGGTCCCATAATACAAAGCTGTACTATGTTTTCATCTTTGTAGGCATGTAAGTTAAAAGAAATCGACAGCATGAATACTTCTTAGTGAATTTTAAAATTAACATGAAATAGATAAATCCTACAAATGCACAATTTATTAAATGTAAGAAGAAGAGATTTAAGAAAATTTTAAGGGAAAACTTGAAAAGGACTATAAAAATATAAAAGTGTGTTTTATCCTAAAATGGGAAAGTAAGCCATAAAACTCATATTTTTATAAATGTATTAATTAGAATTTTGCTCGAGCGGGCCCAGTAACGTCTCCATTGGAGACTTTGTTGTTACTGTGTTTGGCATATCGAATACTCTCGGTAGCTAGCGATAGCACAGCGGTAGGGCATTCGCCTTACAAGCGGCCAACATGGCCGACCCGAGTTCGATTCCTCCGCCCCTCTCGGAGAGCCCGGCAAGCTACCGAGAGTATCTCACCCGCACGGCAGAGCCTGGCAAGCTCCCCGTGACGTATTCGATATGCCAGACACAGTAACAACAAAGTCTCCAATGGAGACGTTACTGGGCCCGCTCGAGCAAATCGACGATCAACGGGAGGGCCTTTACTTACTTACCTACTATTAATTAGAAATTATATTATAAATAATGCTTCAGTATCTGAATTAATAAATAAAAGTTTGTAAAAAAAATTTCTAGGTGCCAAATAAAAAGACCTGAATAGACAGAACACTCAATATAAATGAAGCATTAATTTATTATTGAAAAAGTATAAAATCCTTTAGCAAGCTAGAAATAAACAAATATTTCTTAACTAAGTAGAGGGCAACCATAATGTCATGAATGAAATGAATGCCACATTCAGTGGTAAAGTGCTGAGAAATTTGCCTGGTCTTCTAAAGAATCTCCTTTAATAATTCTTGCAAAACTGGTTTTAAGGCTATGAATTTCCTAAGCAGTTACCTGTCCACAAGGCTTGTTATTATTTCAACAAGCCAGAATTATATTATATTATTGAGCCTTAATTAAAGACTGTAGTTTGCTGAAGCTATTGGTTTTAAGCAGGAGCCTAAAGAAATACGTTTGTATTGTCTGTTAATTCTAAAATGTCAGGGAGGTTTGAACAGTATTTTCTTCATTTTGATACTGAAACAGTTATGTTAGGACACACAGTTATAATAATTAAGTTTATGACCATTTTTGCTTAATTGAATTCTAAAATAAGTTCAAATTACCTATTTTTTAAGAAATGGAAATAAAAAATAAGCATTATTTTGAAAAATGGAAAACAAGAAATTGACATCTAAGGACAGGAAAAAAAATAACTAAAAGAAATAAACACATAATTTACTTTTTATAAGTGTTTTCGTGAAGGGCAGTGTAATTTTTACTCTGAATAAAAGAAGATAAAAATATTATTTTTTAAAGAATTGTTTAATATCTGAATTATACCTAAAGCAAATTAGTACCTCTATAGACAAAATTAAGTTAAAACACAATTGGATAGTACATCTGGAAGTTTTAAATACTTCTTAATTAGTCAGCTTTGTAGCTGAGAAGTAGAACACTTACCTTGTATGTGTGAAACCCTGGATTCTCCCCCCACATCATAAAATAAAATATAATTTTCTTTCTTTGACTTTTAATATTTGGTGTATATTGCAAATTCAGTGGGGCAAGACTAAGCATGATACTAATATATATTATATATAATACATATGTAATATAAATATGTGTCTTTTTTTTCCATTTCATTTTGTACTGCACTGTAGCACTGTCCTCCCATTGTTCATTGATTTGCTCGAGAGGGCACCAGTAACATCTCCATTGTGAGAGTTGTTGTTGCTGTTTTTGGCATATGGAATACGCCATGGGGAGCTTGACAGGCTCTGCCATGCAGCGGGATACTCTCAATAGCTTGCTAGGCTCTCTGAGAGGGACGGAGGAATGGAACCCGGGTCGGCCACGTGCAAGGCAAATGCCCTACCCGCTGTGCTATTGCTTCAGCTCACTAACAAATATATTCACAAATATTTAATTGGTACATACCAAGAGACTGCTATAACAAATATAAAGTTTTGTTGGAAAATTTAAATTCTAAATAATGGAATACAAAGCATGTAACATATGAAGCTCAAAGTAAGCATTTCAGAAGTTGACAAATTAACAATTTTGAACTTATAATATGGATGTTATCAGGAGTATCAAGCACTTGAGAAATCATGTTACTTTTGTTCCAAGAATTACTTCTGAACCATCTTAATCATAGATTCAATTTTTACCTTCATTGGTGAACAACTCTAATCACTAGGAGATTTTACTCTTTTCAGCTAGTAATTGTGAATCTCTATTCAATTGTTACTCTGATCCTTGCTCTGTGTCTGGAACAAGAGGGACACACTATTCTACATGGAAGATCTTTAAGTAATTTTGAAACTGTTATCACCTAACTCCCCTTTTAAGTTTATTTACTTTTGGTTTTGGGATCACACCTGGTGGTGCTCAGGGCTTACTTCTGGCTCTGACTCAGGAATTATTCCTTGTGGGCTCAGGGGACCATAGGGGGTGCTGGAGATTGACCCCAAGATTTATATTTTTACAATTACTTTACTAATTTTCATTTGCATTTTATTTGTTTGTTTTGGGGGTTATGCCAACATTTTTTATTTTTTTTTATTTAATCATTTTTTTATTAGTGAAACACCATGAGGTACATTTATAGACTTATAAATTTTTGTGCTTGGGTTTCAGTTATACAATGATCAAGTACCCATCCCTCCACCAGTGCCCATCCTCCCCCACCACGGGTCCTAGCATCCCTCCCCCCTCATCCCCCCCCCCCACCCTGCTGCTGTGGCAGGGCATTCCCCCTTGTTCTCTCTCTCTTCTTTTGGGTACTATGTTTTGCCAGAGAGTATGCCAACATTTTTATTGTAAAATTTTACTAGTACAAAATTTTTGTACTAGTAACAATTAAAAAGTGATGTCCCCTGAGTACAAGTTTTCTTTTCTGAATCACAGAAATAAAACTCTCCATCTTGGCTTGTTATCAATGAAATATGACAAGTACCCTGGCATGGTGTAGTCACTCAATACGTTTGCTAATTTGTTTTGTTCTTAATAAAAGAAACGAGACAAGCTACGACAGGAAAATCAGTATTGTGGTCTAGACATGAGGTGAGACAATGTCAGGATTAAAGAAAAATACATTTCTAATAATTATAAAAAATATTTTACAAAGTTGTTATATTAGATTTCATATTAGCTCACATTACTTATGTGATATGACTTATGATTCATGAACTTTCCCTAAGATTTGAAGAAGTTTGAATTATGATAAAGAATATAAACATAAAAACAATCTAATTTTCAACAACATATAAAATGGAAAAAAACTAGGCAATAATATTTCAAGAATCAAAAGAAAAAGAATGTTAAAAAATTCTGATGAGTCCCCCACCCCCACCCCCAAGAAATCAACAGGAGAGTTTGAAGTTTGGAATCAAGGAAAATTTTAAGCTTGTTAATACTTACTTCTTGGTTATTAAATTTTCCATAAAGATGAAAATAGAGACTTGATAATTTCTTTGGAAGTACTTGGAGGTTAGAGAAACAAAATCAAACCAATTTATCATTGTTATAAGAACAGGGGATCTACATTTTTTTCCAGAAATACAGCAGAACATAAGGTTTTGGATTTATGATTGAAAACAGAAAGGGAAAACTGAAAAATGACTTAACCAGAATTCAGTAAGAATCTCTATTATTGAGCAAAATGCACTGTGAAAAAAATCAAAAAATGTCATAGCTAATATATAAATTACTCTTTCCTCTTAAATACTTACACATCTATTAGTAGAGGATATTTCTTGGATTCATCGAAATGAGGAGGCAAAATCATCTGGTACCAAAATTCTAAGAAACAGAAAAATTAGCATAGTAAGAACAATTATTATGATTTTAATCTCTTACCTCTGAGTTGTAATTCATATCTAGAGTTTAAAATTTTTTTATTAGAAAAATAAGAAAAGGAACTACTTAGTTTCAGCATATTTGTAAAATACTAAAACATCTTGCAGGTTGAAATGCTATTTAAGGTAAAAGCAATAAAGTTTTTTCTCATGTATCTACTAAATACATTAGTGCCTTGTAAAATAAAAGTACATCTTAGAATTGCTAATGTTTTGTTTTTATGATTCTGTTCTTTGGCATCTGATCTACTTATTTGGTTTGTTTATGGCTTATGTTCTAAGTTTTCCTCCAAAATGTTTTCCTCTTTTTAAATTTTCTTGAAGATGTTCAAGATTGTTAGTTGGCCCCAACTTTATTTTAAAATTCTGATTTAATAACATTTTTTATAATTCCTACTGCCATCACAGACCTCAAAGCTGAGTTCCCATTTTCAGTTCTGTGTTTTACAGAAGAAAAATCAGGTTTACATAGAGCAAATTCTGGATTTGATCTCCACAGATCTGTTTAATTCTCTCTGCTTCATTTGATGTCTATTTTAAAAAATGTGCCCTTAAACAATAAATTAGTTTCCTTTAATCCCAAATTCAGAATGAGTTAAAATAGTAAATTTATAAAGAGTTGTTGCATCTACAATATTACTATTTTCATTTCAATAGATTTAACCCATGGGGTTAAATACTTAATTCTTCTCTTTATAGCTGTTTCTTAAATTTATAGTTATTTTCCATATGCTACAATTATTTTTAACTTGGAAAAAAGTTTTAGGAACAGAATTTTCATATAGATAATTTTAATTTGTAGTTGAATGATCATATTGTACCATCTTATTAAATGTACGTACAAGAATAAATTTGAAATCTTTATTATATTTCAATAGAATGTCAGATCACATTTTTTGTTTTGGGGAGGGCGCACACCTGGCTGTTCTCAGGGTTTACTCCTGGATCTGTATTCAGGGATCACTCCAGGTGACCTCAGGGGACCATAGGGGGTGCTGGGGACTGAACCCTAGTCAGCCATATGAAAGGCAGGAACTCTACCTGCTGTATTATTGCTCTGGCTCCCATGTGATTATTTCTAATGAATACCCTAAACCCACTATTTGAACTTACTTTGAATCAGCACTACCTGATTATAAATGATTTAGTTACAACTTCTTTTTAATGGTACAGAATTTTCTTTGAGGGGGAGCATTTTTATCTCAAATCTCACATATTTTCTTGCTTCCTCTTTTTCTTTCCCCATTACCCCCCCCCATTATTTCCCCCCCTTCATTATCTTAATCCAAAACCTAACTCTAACCTTAATCCTAACTCTAACCCTAATCCGAACATATGCTCCCTCCTTTCTTAGCTTCTCCCCCCATTTGGCAGTTCCATTATATTCCTGATTAGGTTGTCCATGCAATCTGTGATTCCTAGACCCTGAAACCTTTAGGGCCTCCCAACTCTTTACCAAATAGAAGATCATCACATCTAAGGACCAAATGCCTTTGACACCAAACAAGCCAGTGAGCACTCTAGAAAGGAAAAACTTTTGCTACCCTAGTCTGACTCGAGGGACAGACCTAACTCATACCTAAAAACAGAACAGAATTACTAATGAAAGGAAAGAAACAATAATGCATTTTCTCTAAATACCTGTCCTCTTATCAGAATAAATTTTACAAAGGCTAGTATTTTCAGACAAAAAATTGTAAAAGTAGTACTTTTTGTGACAGAAAATTTAATTAAAAAGTAACCGTAAATTATATTTGTATATAATATACTTTTTTTTCAGATCAAATGATAATATTTTGTTATCATTGTTATTTTTGGTTTGGTTTTGGGGCCACACCCAGCAGTGCTCAGGACCACTCTTGGCAGGACTGCATACCTGCCAAGGTACCATATGAAGCCTGGGGTGCCACACTAGAGGCAAATGCTCTACCTGCTGTATTATGGCTGTGGCTTTTCACTGGTGTTTCCAGGCAAAGTTTTGTTTTAAGAAAAATTTAACTTACTTGTTCCATGCAAACTAATAGAATCCAGTTTTTTTGAGGGCATCTGGACATCTTGCAGTGCTTTATCCAATGCTGAATTATCTTCCAGAACTCTCAGTTCTAAATTAATAAGAGAGGAAAAGGGAGAAGTAATTTATTATTAAATATGAAGAATTTCAACTGCACAAGGCACTAATGAACTGATCACAATTCACTAATGACACTGCATACTTCAGCCGGTAAGCCTAGTGTTCAAACACTGCTAAAACACTCTGAAAAAGACACTATACTAAGTACATCTCTGTCCTATTCACTCACAATTCCTAAAATGTTGATGAAGAGTGAATATGAGAAAATACCTTTATCATCTGCACTCCTATGCATAGTATAGAGGGGCAGTCCAGGACCTGGTAACATAATCAGATAAAATAAATTTTAGATGAGTTACAAGAGGAAAAATAAAACAGCATAGGTTTCAAATAATATTTGTTACCATTTACCTTTGCTATAATTTGATAGCATTTAACTTTGGTAAAATAACCATCCCTAGAAAAGGGATTAATAAGTATCAGCTTTTTTCCATTTTCCTAAAATAATTACAATTTGAGGGAAGATCTATAATTGGAAATATCTATTAGAAAGAAGCAGTAAATTAACCTCTGTTCCTACTGGGTGCCATGGGCACATTCTCGTCTCTGCCCAATCTGTGAAACAGGCCTCAGGGGCTCCCTAAAAGCAGACAGCCTTGCCTGCTCTAAAGGATTAAAGGATGGGCTGATTCCCAACTAATTACATACTCTCTTTCAGATTCTGCCCACTTTAAGATGACCAGTGTCACCTGTATGTGGTTGTGTGTTTTCGAAGGGGGCAGGTGTGGATTTCCCTCCCGCTAACCCGTCCTCTGAATCCTGGAGCCAGGCAGCACATCTGCACAGTGCCTGGCTTGGATAAGCAATTCCTTCCTGGCATGCAGAAGTGTTTTTCTCACAAGTACATATCTTCACTATTTATCCCAACTGTGGTAGTTGCAGAGTGGAAGGTAACGTATAGATAAGATATTTGTGAGCTCTTTAATTCTGATGCATGTGGATGATGATACTAGTTTTTACAATGGCTCACAATCACAGTGAAGGCATTATTCAGACTTGAATTTGAATTCTGTCTTACCTGTTGTGTGACTTAGGAATATGTATCTAGGTTTCAATCTCCTCACATATAAAATGTGATAGACAATATCCACATTATAAATCTTTCTTAAGGATCAGACAAGATGATAAAAATAAAAACCTTCCGCACTGTGCCTAGTATAAAATACATGCCCAATGAATGAGAATCAAAACAGCCAAAGTAAAGAGCAGTGAGAAAGATATAATGTTAAGTAAAATATACTAGCAATGAAAGTTTATTCAGGGAAGTGCTTTGTACATCTCCTTTTGGTGATGGAAAGGTGACTTAGCACACAAGTGCAAAAGGGCTCGGGATCAGATGCTTCTACTGGAAGCCTGCTGGGTCTCCTGGTGGCTGTGTGACCTGTGGCAGTCATATTGCCTCTTCTTGCCTAGGTTTCTTCACTGACAATAAAGAAAACAATAACACTAGTAACAGAAGGAGCAGTGGCACCTGGTGACAAGAAGCCTTCCACATGCATTCTCTCATTTATAGGGGAAAGTGAGTGTAGAAAATAATAGTAATACAAATACAAATGTGGATAAGGAAAAAAACGCTTATTTATTCATTTATTTATTTTTGCTTTTTGGGTCACACATGGTGATGCACAGGGGTTAATCCTGGGTCTGCACTCAGGAGTTACTCCTGGTGGTGCTCAGGGGACCATATGGGATGCTGGGAATCGAACCCAGGTCAGCCGATGCAAGGCAAATGCCCTACCCTGTGCTATCTCTCCAGCCCTGAAAAAAAGCGCTTCGATGTGACAGGAGTTCTGGTGTGTGTGTGTGTGTGTGTGTGTGTGTATGTGTGTGTGTGTGAGCACGCATGCACATGGATCTGTGCATATGTGTGTGCATATGCTTGCGCAAGTGCAAGTGTGTGTGTATGTGTGTTTGTCTAAAGTAAGTAGGTGAATATCTTGGTTGAAGGTAAAGGAAGTGTGGTTAACTACCACTTAAACAGAAGTAAAGAACGGGAACTTATATGATTTCAAGAACTAGATACAAAAGGGGAATATTGAGCAGGGCAGAAACTAGACACAAACAGGGAGACAAGAGGGTTGAGGTATCACCTTGGGGAAGGAAATGAGACAGTCGCAAGCTAAGGGGATGCCAGGAGCTACCTAGGTAGAGATCTGCTTTTCCCCGGTCATGTATTCAGACTTACCAGAGCAGAGCAATTGGTAGTACTTTGCATCTTTGCTAAATGATGCTGAATAGTACTGACATCTTTGTGGATTTAGTTCACAGCTAAGGCATGTGACTTTCGTAAAGTCATTCAATTGGACTCTATAAAGTTAATGACAGGAATTAAGATTAGGTTCTCAGTGACGAAATAAATTATGGGAACAAATGAAACAATGCAATATTTTAGTTTTAAAGATTAAAATGCCAAATCAAACCTTAAAAATTTTAATGTTAAATAAATCAGTAAATTAATTCATCATAAACTTGAACACGAGCTGGAGCGATAGCACAGCGGGTAGGGCGTTTGCCTTGCAAGCGGCCAATATGGCCGACCCGAGTTCAATTCCTCCGCCCCTCTCCGAGAGCCCGGCAAGCTACTGAGAGTATCTCTCCCACACAGCAAAGCCTGGCAAGCTACCTGTGATGTATTCGATATGCCAAACACAGAACAATTGTCACAATGGAGACGTTACTGGGCCCGCTCGAGCAAATTGATGAACAACGGGAGGACATTGAGAGTGAAACATGAATATCTTATTGTTTGAAAACTTCACAAAGTTCTAATAAAGTTATCATTTCTGACATCCTTTTAACTTATAAAAGCACTCAATGTAATTATAGTTTAATATATCAGTTAAGACAAGTGTTTTTTTTAAATAGACTGGAAATTGTTTATCAGCTAAAAAGTAAACAATAAGATGGAGTTCTTACTTATAAAGATTTCTTCCACCTGGCTTTTGATCTTTTTCATTGCTAATATAGTATCTGAGAAGAAAACAAATAAAATATCAATCAATTTTTTTAAGTAAGTGGATTCCATTTGGCTCTAATCCAAGCATTAGTGCACACACACATTAGTACATTTGTGTTTTACTTTCTTTTATCATTACTTTCATAGCCCCTCGCTACCATAATTCATTCTTTTCCATCATTCATAAATAGGACATTATTTTCCTCTTTTCTTCTCTTTCTTTTCTTCCTTTTCTTTTCGTTGAAGATGAAAGAATCTGAATGAAGGAATTCCTATCTTAACTAAAGTAACAAGTAAAACAAGTCTTTCATATGAAAAATACAAAGAGACAACTAGACTGAAGCAGAGATCCACTGAGCTTTCCATAGTTTTTGTTTTATAATACAGGGCAGAGAACCAACCCTCATCTTTATGAGAGTCAGTTTTAAAAAGATCTTCAGAAATTGGTTTGGGCAGTGACAACATTTCTCTTTGGTGTGACCAGAATGAATTATAAAACTACCGAAGAGGCTAATGAAAAAAATCACACTTCCTTTCTCGACAGCTCATGTGTGGTAGTTGACCTATTCTGCAAAGCTCTGTTTACTGAAGAGTAAGGCAGAAGGAAGCATGGACAGTCAAAATAGCCTTTCCAAGCCTTCCAAAAATTTTGTGCAAACTGAGATTTAATAAAATGCCTTTGAATACTAGCCCAGTCTTTTAAGATGTGCATGGAAAAGAGGCTGTGACTTTTCTCATGGAAAGCAGGTAAGAGCAAGAGGTAGCGCTGCTTGGTGGCGTGGTATCAAATCTGCTCAGCATATGTGAAAATCATTAAGGCTTCCGTATGTTAAAAAAGAAAAAAGTTCTGAACACATTCCAAATAGACTACTCTTTATTTGTAGGAGATTTTTCTCCCTATTTCTGGGCGAAGAGGGAGTAATTACAAGGATTATGTTTGATTGATTATTGACTTTTAGAATACTTACAGATAATTATTTGAAAGAGCTTCTATCTCTATGACTTCCCAGGGTCCTCTTGTAACAAATGTGCAGTTCTAATGGGAATTTTAAAAAGGAGGCTTGTTAGATTCTTTTTTCTGATCAGTTAAATGGAAGATTAAATCATTTAGTGCAGATATTCCGCTGTTCTTGTTCTCTAAATCCCACCTTTAAGACATATACCACCGGAGAATTTGAACTGGTTTATTTGTACACATTTATCAAATGTACCAATTGAATTCCACAAGGCTTGAAAAGCAAAAAATAAAGGAATAAATAAAGAAAATAAGACCCACTTGACATTTGAAATAATAAATAATGCCAGAATACTCACTGCATTATCTGTTTGGAAATGACAAATATGTTTGTAGCCATCTTCATTGCTGATGATCTTATAGTAGCTCTTACCATCAGAGGTAAAATGTGGTTCTGCAGGTCTAAACTAGAAATTAAAAATAAATATATTAGAGCAGAGTAGTCTAATGTCAGAATCAACTTTAGTTTCAGACAGTCCTCTCAATATATATCAATGCTTAAAACCCATGTTTCACTTACTTGCAAAAACACCCTAATGTTTTGAAAGAAAATTCTCATTCTGAAAATGTAGACAATTGATCTAACTCAGAGGGAATTTTGTGTGTGGGTGGGGTAAATGAGAAAATACACCAAAAAAGCTTCCATAGGGCATTCACTATATAGAGGTAGTTAGTAATATTCTTGGACATCTTCCTCACAAAAAATATTTGTAGTTATAAATGTGCAAAATTTACCATTAGCATCTCAGTTAAGTTGTAAGAAGTAAGCTTCCTCAGTGTCACCATGTGTCTGCTTGAAATATATTATTTTTTACTATTTCACATTGGTCATTTTTAATTTCCCTCCATTACTTTACATATTTTTTTCTTGAAAGTCAGATTTAGAAAATCTTTAACCATTTCTGGACAAGAGACTATGAATACTGTGGTATATTTCATAGGGAAACATTCATATGGTTATCATTTTTATGCCTTTATATTTTGTTAGATAGGCTCAACGATTTATAAAAAAACATAGTTGTATGAAAATATAGAACAAAATTTCCATGTTTTACAGTTTGATAAAAGATAGTTCTCAGAACGTAATTTAAGCAGATGAGTATCTATCTCAGCCTGAAAGGAATATGTCACTTTACAATTACGATTTTCTTACTACATGGAGAGCAGGTAGGAAACAGTCTTTTAAAATTGCTGGTTCGCTTCAACCTCGATGTTTCTACTCTCATCAGCTCCCGTTTGGGGAAGAAAGAAAATGCTACACTTTTCTATTTAGTGATTCAAAGAGAATTCATTTATGGAGCAAGCTGCGGCATGCAGTACACTTGGTGTTCTCATTACAGAGCTTTGAAACACATTCTCCTCTCTAGACCTGTGTTCACAGCCTTATCTTTTTAATACATTTCCCTGTTTCCCCTGGATGGAGTTGTGCCTAGTAGAAATGTGTGAAAAGTGGCATCTGTCTGGTTAAATACAGAGAGGAAAAAACATATTTTTTTCAAAGAGTCGTGAGGAAGTGTAGCATGTCTCTTGCCATGGAGGAAACCACTTTTCATGTTGGCAAACCTCTCCCCTATGCCCAATCCATGCCTGAAGAAAAAGGATGTGTGAATGCCCTCAGAGCCCCAAGTCCAGCTGGAAGGGGGTATGTTCCAGACCGAGGCCTCCTCTCAAAGTCTCAAGACATGGGAAATTCCTACTATTTTTTTGTGCCACTTTGTTTCTCACTTAAAGAGAGCTTAATAGAAGAGATCATAAAACTTAAGCAAGATTCATTCTTCATCTCACACAAGGTGCCACAGTTGCCTGGAGTTCTTTCATCTGTTAATTTCCTTCCTGTGTCCTGCAATAACAGTGTGCATAGGCTGTGCCCAGTGAGTGCTTTTGTCTCTAAGGGTCACTGCACTTTCTCTGAGACAGCTTTACAGCAGGGGGCTTTGCCATGTGTGAATCCCCAACAGTATCACTTCCTCCAAGGAGAGGTCCTGAGCTGGTGTGGTAGGCCTGCTGGGTTCTGCATTTCTGTTGGTTGTAGTCACACTGCTTAAGCTTTTAAAGCAGCCTGTGGCTACAGACTGTTTTCTTCCTCCAAAACACAAAACTTTGAATAAAATGGTCAGCAAGCACTTTGGGCATCTTGACACCTATAGGCAACGGTGGCTGTATTATTTACTGAGGGCTACAACTTGCCTAGAGGATGAATTTCATTTTTGTCTATTCTCTTCTGTTTGTCCTTTATTTTTCCCAACTGAGATACTTTTATGAATTATCTAAAAAAAACCTATCTAGACAAGGAATATCCAAATATTTTGAGAAATAGTTCATTTGATACCTCTATTAACAGCAAATACTATAGGTCTCTCCTTTGGTATACACACTGGTAAATAGCTTGCGTATCTGATGCACATAATAGAAAATCTTATAACCGGTAACTCTTCAACACTTACTCTTCCGACCCAGCCAGTAGCACTCATTTCAATGTGCTGTCTTGACTAGAGAGAGGAAAAATACAAAGACAGTTTTCAGAAAGAGTAAGATGATGAGTTCTATTTTTAGCTGCAATTTGTGGTTACAGAATTAAAATTATACCTTTAATAAAATATTTCTAACTTATTTTCATTGTTATGTATTTTACCTGTCTTGCCTGGGTGGATACCCATATGTTGTCCTGGAAGTGTGATTATCAACTGAATATATTCATTTCAGAATATTCAAAGATGGGCATAATGTTATTCTCTTTCCCCAATTCTCACCATCTTATCTTTCCATCAACATTCTCCTGAGCATAGCACTGATTCATATTACCAAAGATCTGGGAATTGTTCTAATCTCCCAGACTTCTAAATCATCTTCTAAATCATCTTCCTTCAACCGTAGCAACTCCAGTGACTTATGTCTTTCTCTGCCATTACTCTTAGTCCAAGTTCTGTAAGGTTTCTCACATTCTAGTACCTCTATCTCCTAGTTGGAGACCCTGAGATACTGTTGCCTTTTCTACTTCTAGTCAGCTCTCCACCCTGCTCAATTGCCCACAGAGTGAAATTATTTTCAAACTTATTTGTCAATATGAACTTCTTTTGAAATCTATGAAGAAACTCACATGCTTAACTAGATAAGACTCAACTCCTTAGAAGGCCCCTTAAGTCTGAGTCTCTATTTCCAAACACAGTTCTACCATTGTGCTCTCACCTATCCTTTAACCAATAGCTCCCTGTCTTGGCACAGTAAATCACAAGGTATTCTTGCTTTGTCATAGCCTATGTGCATTGGTTCCTTCTGCTTATATCTGCCTAGCATTTGGGAGCTTACTTCAGATTTCTCCAGCTCTCTCCCTTGTAATCTCCCATTCTGCTGTGCTTTCCCCCAACCAGGCTGATCATCATCTTTTATCCTACATGCCATCTTCACCTTGTTTATACTCTGTTAGGATATAATAAACTGCCTAATACTAGAATGCCTTAACTGGCAAGAAACGAAAATTTTGCCATTGCAATCTGATAGTCACATCACCCAAGTAAGTTTTAATCTTACTGACCCTCAAGTTATAATGTCTGGCTATTGTCAATGTTCAAGAAATGATATCTTTTCATATTAATTTTCATAATGGTATCCCTACTAGAACATAAATATTTAGGGGATAAGCATGTTAATTCTTTCTTTCCTTTTTTCTTCTTTTCTTCGCTTTTCTTTTTTGCTAGTTTGGTTTTTGAGCCACACCAGTGGTACTGAGGCTCCTCCTTCTGACTCTGCACTCAGGGATAACATCTTGTGGGGTTTGGGGACGATATGTGGTTTTCTGGGAATGGAACTGAGGTTGGCAACATAGAAAGAAAGTTCCCTAAGCTGTTCTATTCTCTGATCCCTCCATTTCTTACAATTTAGAGCTTAGTACAGAACTAGGAATAGAAAAGGTATTCAGTGTTCTGAAAATAAATGCATGCATGCGTCAAAATAGGAAATGCCCAATCATTCTTAAATGACAGTCTTCCTGGTGTTCAACCAAAATGGGAGCAGAAAGGGGAATAGCATGGTCATAGGGACCATCAATAGAAAGCAGCATATAAAGGTGTCCTTGACACATGCCAGAATGCTTCTCCTAGGCATTAGTCTCCTGAGACTGTGTCTTCCAAAGGAATTAAATTCTGATGCATCAGTTTTTATGTACCAATGGACCCCTAAATCAAAATACCCCAAGTCTCAAGAGTGGAATTAACACTTGTATATGTCTCAGTACTGACATTATCTCAGCCTGGTAATTATCTAAGTCATAAAACTGTTAACTCCTAAAAAATAATCACAGGATAAAAATAAAACTGTGGACTCAACATTTGTTTTGTTTTGTATTCACTCAGCCTGTACTTGGGTATCTCCTTAAAACATGCTTCACTGACCGTGCAATCCCCAATCCCTCCACACTCCCTCCTCCTGACTGTTTGGATGATGGCATCAAGTCTATCTTCTGGCTATCCAGTCACCACCACTCCCTTCCTGAGGAGCAGTATCCAAAACCAGAACAGAATGACTAAAGAGTGGGAGGTGAAATCTAAACACCAAGAGATATCACATAACCTAAACGCTAACTAAGACTTACCCACTGGCTCAGGGACAGACACAGAGTCAGAAATAACAGAAACCCAAAGTTCTTTTTCTGATTCCCAAGCATTGGCTGTTCCTGTGGATACACAGCCTTCCCATCACATACAGCTTTAGGGCAGAACGTTCTGTTCTGTCTTACCACTGAGCAATTCCATCTCCTGGAAGACCCCTCATAATCACAAATATCCATGACTGAATAGTTTTGAATCCTCCGGAGCCACTGTAAAGAAATCCTTTCATCGGTTGCCCATGTCACTTCACATAAGTAGTGATCCCTGGAAAGAAGGAAGGAAGGAGAGAATTACTATTTCTGAATTCTTATACAGATAGACATTTTACTCCATGAAGTCAATTATTAATAACATACTAAAATTTAAAAGGTTCTCAAAAACATTTAATATACTATTTACATGATCTTAATGCTTAAATTAGTTTAGAATTTAATTTAGAATAAAAATACAGACAATATATCAGACACCAGTCTGGCCTTTAATGGTGTCTGGGAGTAAAGAATAACAGGGCTGTCTTCAGGGAACAACATTACAGCCAGGCCAAGCTGAGATTCAAGTACTTGCTGATAGTTTGGTGTGCCTCTCTAGAAAATTATGCCTTAAGATGAAACATATAAACTTTCCCTTTCCACAGATTTATTTTCAAAGAAGAAAAAGCTGGATAACATATTTATAAACGTTGAAAATCAAATAATTGTATTCTAAAAACCCCTTTCTGAAGAGTCAAACTTCAACTATTTTATAAACAACAGCAAAAGAGGACTGGAGAGATAGGACAGGAGTGATGTTACTTGTCATGCATGTAATTAAACTAGCTTTGCCTATGGTCACTCAAGTACTGCCAGGAGGGATCCCTGAGCACCATCCGATGTGGTGTGTCCCCATAAAAAAGCAAAGCAAAAACCCCTTTGGTGGTTCAACATAAATTTATGCAAACAGAGACTTCTCTAGCTTCACAACCTTCCCTAATTTACTTCTTCAACATTTTGGGGCATCTACTTTCTGACATATGGTTTATATCATATTTAAACCAATTATGGGATTCCTGGTTTATTTATATACCATAAATTAATATATTTTCCCTGAACAGGTTGTTTTAGTTACATCATTTGCTCCCCCTGATAATAATGAGATTTTTGTCTGATTACTTATAAGTCAGTTACTGACTGACTATAAGCAATCAAACAAAAATTTGATTCCTTCGTCCCTCTCGGAGAGCCCAACAAGCTACTGAAAGTATCTCACTGGCATGGCAGAGCCTGGCAAGCTCCCCAAGGCATATTCGTTATGCCAAATACAGTAACAAATCTGACAATGGAGATGTTATTGGTGCCCGCTTGAGCAAATCGATGAACAATGGGAGGACAGTGCTACAGTGCTACTTATAAGTCAGTCAGCTCCAGGATCTGAAGAAAGCTTCGCTTCCTTAGGTCAGTAGGTTCCAAAGGCATCTCACTATTTCTTTCTGTTTGGCCCAGGAGTCATATCTCAACATTGACACACTTCTGGGATCTGTTCCTTCATAGGTGGTGTCTATCTCCTGCTCTGCTCCTCTGCTTCCTTTACTCTCATTGCCTGCAAGTTGTCTGAGGCAGAATCACTGCTGTCTTGTCCTAGAATATTCCCAGCTTGAATACATAATACAAAACAGGCACCACTAAAATTTAGTGGAACGCAGCACTGAAGAAAGGGTGGGGATGGGCAGGAGGAATCTCATTTTGGTCTCTGAGACCTAAACAACTCTGTCCTTTAAGAATGCACAGATCACTTCCTGCCTCTACCTGCTTCCCTCACCGGGACCAACAGGTGCTGAATAAAGCTTCCTAATGAAGCTGCCAGAGAAATAGCACAGAGGATAAAGTGCTTGTTTGCTCCCAAGGTCATTTCAATCCCTGGCATCATAAGGTCACCCAAAGTCTGCCAAGCATGGGACAGAGCTGGGAGTAGCTCCTGAGCACTACTGGAGACACACATCTGAGGGAAACTAGGACCCCCAGACTGTCACTGTTGCAGGTAGCAGGCACTGAAAGAAGACTAACTAACCCCTTTCATCGAGCAGTCAAGCAGCACATTCTCACAGGAAACTCCCCAAAATAAAGTCACCATTTCAGTCCTTTTCTGGCTTATTCAGAACTTAATTACTATCTGGACTCCATGGGGCTGCTATTCCATGAATTCTGAATGGAGTTTCCCAGCTGCCTCACTTCGATTAACCTTTCCTTTGGTTGGGGAAAACAACTGCCATGCTCTAATTTATTAGAATTTTACTAAATATTTCACTATGACCACGATGCTTTTATTGGAAAGTCCCAACTGATGGGTTGAAGAGTCTGAGAGTGTGAACGCTTCTTCACATGCATTAGAGCAAGGATGCCTCATCTGTCTAATCCTTTTGCATTGTGCCTGACACAGAGTTAAATGAGAAACTGACAGGCAAGTAAATCTTTTCGGGAAAGGGAGTAAATATTTGCAAAGGAAATGTCCTGTAGCACTGTAGCACTGTCTTCCCATTGTTCATCTCAAGTGGGCACCAGTAATGTCTCCATTGTGAGAGTTGTTGTTACTGTTTTTGGCATTCAAATACGCCACGGGGAGCTTGCCAGGTTCTGCCATACAGGTGAGATACTCTCGGTAGCCTGCTGGGCTCTCTGAGAGGGAGATAAAAGGGAAATAGAAAAATTAATAAAACATAAGAAAAAAATGAAATGATTTTTTGAATCAATGCTTTTTTGAACTGATTTATAGTACAGGGTGTGAAAACTTTTTTCAGTAAAGGAAGTTAGTGAAAACAGAAGCAGCAGGGATGAACAACAGATAAATGCAGGAGTGTAGCTGTGTCTCATAAAATCTTCATATTTGAAGGTTATATAATTTTCACATGTCACAAAATATGATTATTCTTTTCATTTTTTTCTGTTTACCAAATGAAATAACCATTCTTACATGGGTATAACACATACACACAGACAGGTGACGGGACCTGCCTGATGAAGCCAAATATGTTAACTTCTACTCTTCACTTGTATTTCATAGGGATGAGGTAAAAAATGATCAGTAAACCTGGTGTATTTGGAAGGAAGAAATTAATGTCTCTTCATACACATGTACACAGTTCTCCTGGGTCCCATGGGCATCTGTTGGAAACCTTGGGTCTTCTTTGCTATAGGGGTACCAGGGAATGAAAACTGATCTTTTTCAGGCAAAGCAGGCACTCAATTCATGAGCTCTCTCTAGCCCCCAAAGTCTTATACTTTATATGATGAATGAGCCACAGCTACTAAATATCTTCATCTACTAAACATCATAAACTATTCTTCAGAAAACAGTGATAAAAAAGTAAATTTTCCCTATTTGGAAACATTGGCTAATGATATTTGGGAACACAGCAGGGGAAATCTCATGCATCTTAGCGTCTTACCAATCCAGTTCTAGCTCAAAGTTTATGAGTCTATTTTTTCTACTACCTTTACCAATCTCAGCAGCCCAAGTTTTACTCTGTACCCCTGAGTGATCAATAAACATCTTCACCAGAAGGTGTGATAGTAAATTTTAAATTTTCATATGAACATACTTCCCTTTTTAATCACAGGACTAGGGATGACTCTCTAGGATTCAGACTCTAGAACTCTCTAGTGTCTGTCTAGGACTTGGAATGGAGAGGGAAGGAAGGGGTAGAACCTAGCCTGGGGTCAGAGTCATGCCAGCCTCAGGAATGAAAAAGACATAATGGAACAGGTTCAACTAATATATATGTGACATTTTATCAAAATATTTAAGTCTTATTTCAAACAAGAAAAATACAGTAGGCAGGGTTATGAACTATACTTTCTGTTACATGCCCATTAGTGTCCCAAGCAGAGGTAATTGTGGGTAGGCTGTGACCATATAATGGCTGGGTAAGGGAGTATCCACTTTGCCTTGTGACAGGGTCTGCCAGTCTATCCCAGGCTAAACAAAGGGATACAATAATCTCTTCAAACTTCTGGAATTTGATTATTCCAAGCAGAATAGATTTATTTTGGTATAGAGCATTTGAATAATCTCCAAATAAAGCAATGAGGTCATACCTATCTGGATTTAGATGTGCCAGGAGCTGTTTTAAGCCGAATGACTTTAAAGCTCTTGACCATGATATGAGATCAGAAGTTTACATTTCATGCTTTAATGACTACGTAACCCAGCAGAGAAATGTAAGTTAAGTGAGTCTGTATTTTGCAGACTGGAAAGAGATTAAGTGCTGAAAGATTAGAGGGTTTGCTAATGCCACACATTGAAAAGTGCTAGAACAGGATTCAAACCAAGCAGTTGGCTCCAGAATTTCTGCTCCCAAGTCCCTCATTATCTAGAACTTTCATCCATTCCTCTGCTGAACATTACTAGTTGTCTTTACACTCTTGCTTTTTTAAAGAATATTCCCCCCTGAATAAAACCATTTATGAGGCAGAAATGTATCCCATTGGTTAGAGCTTTGACTTGTGTGTGTGAGGCCCCGAATTTGGTCTCCGAGACTGAAAACAAGAAAACTTAAAAAAATAAAAAATCATTGATTTTTTGAGAAATTGTGTACAAGTGGGAAAAATGAATTTTATAAAACAAATACTATTTGAATACACTGGAAGAGATTAACTTTTGAAAATCACACCACAGGGATCCCTTGGTGAAAGAAACTGCCTATCTTAGCATAATGCCTTGAAAACAGTAGACATTTAATAAATGTTGAGAGATATTAATTTCCTTAATTTGTGTAAATGTTTCTTTTGGTATCCTAAGGATATTTAAAATAAGGCTCACATTACTAACTAGAAAGAATGTTGGAGAGAAAAATGCTAAGAGTAACTGCAGACGGTGAGTGATTAATTCAGTGAATCACCCAAGGAAGTGGGCGTTCTGCCAGTGCTGGCCGTGGGCTCTATGCCACCCTTTGCACTGTTAGGGATGCCAACCTTCCTGGGGCCTCTGACAGATCGCTGAAGGGAGGAATGGGTACAGTGAGATAGAGCAGATCTGAGGGAGCTGGCACCCATAATATGCAAGTCTTCTTTCCTGCAAGTGACACACTAATCCAGGGTTTTTAACTCCAGTTAATTTGTCTCCTGAGTTATGATCTATTGTCAGTAAAGTTATTACTTTATCTCAGGGCCAATGAGAATGGGGTATGATGGATTTGAGCTAGAGATGACAGCCTTGAGAATAACCCCTCCCAGATCTTCTGGCTTCAGGCCATAGCCTTCAAAGGTGGCTGAGTACACACAAGAGATTCCTAT